TAATAATGCAGTAGAAAGTTGTTGTCAGAGTTAAGGAGGTGTATTTAAAGGAGTAGTATTAAGATCTAAATCAGCTTGTAGATAAGCTCCAGGTACAAGAGAAGGGTTAGTAGTATTAGTAGGTGTGTTAGTAGGTATAATATAATTAAGGAATTGAGTAAATGAGTGAGGTTGGGCTCAAAGAGGATTAGTTGCAGTACGAGAAAGAGTAAGAGCAAATTCTAAATCAATATTAGCAAAAAGAGAATTAGAAGTATTAATTTGAGAAGGAAATTGAATTTGAATAGTATTTTTGTCATAATCAGAAAGAACAGAGATAGATTGAATAGAGATATCTTCTATTTCCTCAGGTTGTAAAAGGTTAACAGAATATAAGTCAGGTAAGGTTGCAAAATTGAAAGAGTTTACTTCACTTTGGGAGGTTGAAGCTAGGGTTCCACAATTCGATTCGATTTGATTCGATTCGATCAAATATTCAAATCAAATCAAATTAAATCAGAGACTTTATTTGATTTGATCAAATCAAATTGACAAAATATTTGATTTGATTTGATAAATATTTGAATATTCGAATTGATTTGAATTGAAACTATAGATTCAATAGCTATTTACGCAAAATTTTATTAAAATAACTGCTATTTTTATTCTAACTGACTAGGGGTATTTTAATTAGAAGAACATTTTTTACTTAATATGCAAATCGATTAGCTTAGTAAAATTTTGCGTAAATTGAGATTTTTGAAAAGTGATAAAATTTTAAAATTTTTATTAAGTTTTGTATATTATTTGATTTGATTCGATTTGATTTGATCAAATCAAATTCAAATCAAGAATTTATTTGACTTGATTAATATTCAATTCGATTCAATTCGACTTTGAGAAACCCTAGTTGAAGCTACAGGTAAACCAAAATCTCCTAAAGCTTTAGTAGTATCGGTAATAAAGTTTAATTGAGAAGAATAACAGGGTTTTCAATATAAGGGTTAAAATCGTTGGCAGAAAAATTTGGAGGTAAATAAGATGCAAGTTGATATCTAGTATAGTTAGCAAAGAGAGTAGCAGCTATTTGTCAGGGGTTGTCAAATAGAGTTCTATATTGACAACTAAAAATAATATTTCTAACTAAAGCTTGAGCAGAACTATAGTTAAAGTAATCTCTTAATTCAAAATAGGCTATGACTATTATCTGAATATAAGAAGTTGCAGCAAAGGCTTGTTGATACCACAACCAAAAACTACGGAAAGCACAATGATATTGGGTAGCAGTAAAACACTGTCGGCAAGATTCATCAAGAGCGAGTACTTAAAGGGTATTGTTTGCAAGGCTATTTTCTTAGTATGCTAGTTCGTGTCTTTGTATATATTCCAAATGCAATTAGTAGGCTCAATGTATATAATGCTGTAAGCAATTCTTAGGTTAATATTTAAGAGTTATCTGGTTCTGGTTGTATTTAAAAATCTAATCCTGGGTAAAATTATTTATGCCTACACTTTGGCTCATGAGTAATTTATGCTTAATTTTTGATTAAGGGTCATAGTAAGCTGCTAGCTCTATAGTTGCTATAAAAGCAGAGGCTTCAAGTATGCTCTTTTAAGCAAATCTTTTTCAATTTGTCAGAACTTTTAATGGTTGCTATGAAAGCAGAGGCTTCAAGTATACCCTTCTAATCAATTTTTTTTCAATTTGTCAGGACTTCTAAAAGAAACTATTACTATTCTAGTAATAGCAAAAGAAGAGGAGAGTCATAAATAAATATTTTTTCAAAGGTTAATCTGGCAAAAGGTCTTTTTCAAGAGAGAGGGTTTCCTTTAAAGGTCAAGAACTTTCAATTCAAAGAGACAGGGTTTCCCTTAAAGTAGCAAAATTTTTCTTTTCCAGGGGAGAATTTTCCTTTCTACCAGGAGGCACCAAATTGTTACAAGTGGACTGTAACCTTCTTAATACAGTACAAGTAATAAAGCACACAGCTATAGAGCTCTATTGCAAGATTACAGGGATGTAGAAGTAGAATGTAACTTCACTAAAGGCAGTTTGTGGAAAGTATATAGTTTAAAGAAAGATATATTTTATTTACAATATAAGACTTTAATTCTAAGAGATAATATTCCTATAACTAAAGGGTGTCTATATCTAGAGAGAATATCTGAGTCTTATCTGGCAGGAAAAGGAAAAGCCAGGGTTTATATATCTTTTTCTAAATTAATAAAACTAATACAAATAATAAAAAATGATAGAAATAGTAGAAATGGTAGAAACGGTAGAAATGGTAAAAATGGTAGAATTGGTAGAAACGGTAGAAATAGTAGAAAAAGTAGAAATAGTAGAAATAGTAGAAATAGTAACCATTCTTGCCATTCATCATATTATGTGAAACTACTTAATAATATTACACAATGATATAATAATACAATAATAGAATATAATAATAATACTAATAATAATACTAAATAATACTAATAATAAGAAATTTAGAAAACTCATTCTATAACAATATATTAAATTAAAATTATGATTAGAATTATATTTAACTCTAAATTATTACAAATATTATATACAGATATCTTTTTTTAAAATAATGAATTTTAATATATAAAGTGTGAAAGAATATTTTCTTATAGAGCTTCACTTTGAAACTATATAAATATTCATAATAATACTATTAAAAAACTCTTACAGGAAATAGCTAAAGAAAAAGAAAAAGAGCAGAGAATTCAAATAGAACAAGGATATTAGCAAAATAAAGATCAGCTAGCAATAGAAATAGAAAATAAACAACTTGAAAGTAATAATATAAAAATAAATAGTGAAGATGTTAAAGATGATGAAGGTGTTGGAGATGACGAAAGTGTTAAAAATAATAAAGGTGTTAGAGATAACAAAGATATTGAAGATAACAAAGGTGTTAAAGACAACAATAAAACAAGAATAGATAATCAACTTGGTGATGAAAATAACTATAATTACTGGATAGAAAACTAACAAGAAAGCCAGCTTAAAGATTAATCAGAAAGTGTAATAAAAGAATCAAGCAGTTAAATTTTAGTAAATATATATATAAGAATAGTAAAATTAAACAATCAATTATTCATATAACTTCATATATATAACAAATAAACTTTATTTGCGATTAATATCAATTTATATATATATAAACTTTATTTGCAATATCAATTTATATATATATAGAAAAGATTTGTATTATTTGATATAAAGCCATCTTTAATTTTTGAGTCTCTTGATATCACCAACTTAATAAATAAAGAAATGAGTTTTTCTAATGAGAAATTTGGCAATTTTATTATATACTCCAATTTTTGGAATATCTGCAGATTATTAATGCACTCCAAAATTTATAGTTACATGACAGGATGCATCAATTAGTTGATATCCAATCATATTATAAATTTCAATAGATGTGTCAGTTAGTTGACAGATTGTGTAGCTATAATATTGCTTTTGAATGTATACATACCTATCTAAAAGTAATAACCCCTTTGTTGTATATATTCACGCTTTAAATTTATAGACTTATTGTTTAGAGCAAAGTGAAGGATCTTTAGTTTCTATCATAGCTCTTAAATAATATTATATTTATTATTTTTTAATGTTAAGGTTTAAAAAAAAATTTTGTAACTAGGCAAGTGATTATCATAAAATTGTATTGATGTTTAATGATATCATTGAATAGATACTATTTAGCAAATTCACAAATATAAAGTATCTTTCTAAAAGAGGCTTTGGCACTGTTTTTAAGACAGTATGGATTAACAGATATATTATAGGATTTGATCAAAAAAACAGATGAAAACAAAAGATACAAACAGATATTTGTTTAAAGGGCCTTGATAATTTTAAAGATATAAAACAAGAATTTTTAGAAATAAGCATTATAATTTAACATAAACATAGAGACAATTCTGCAATTGCGATTTATCAAATAATCGAGAACCCAAAAGATAATAACTACGTGATTGTTATAGAGTACGCAAAGCAAAGAAGTCTCAGAAAATTATTAGATAGTAAATTTGAATTAAATTAACTTTTAAAGTAGCTAATTTATATTATATTACTTAGCTAATGGGCTTAATAAAATTCATAAAGCCATAAAGATTTTCATTCTGAAAATATAGTTAATGAAAAGACTATTTATATATGTTTATATGACAAATGATTTAAAATTTTCTTTCTTTAAAATACATAGGTTTAGGTAAAAGCCAGAAAGAAACAATGCAATACAGAAAAATTATTTAATTTCACAATGCAAGTTGTTTTATTTTGAAGTTGACATAATAGATAAAGAAAAAAATAAATATGCTAAAATATATTTTTCTATAAATAAAACAAATTTGTTAAAACTTTGCTTATAATTCTTTACATACTTTTATTCAAAAGAATTATTGAAATTGGATTTTGCGAAAAGACAGTTAGCTTAAATGGAATATCTGGTAATTAAACTTTTGTTATTTGATATATTGAATATATATTTATTTATGATCTTTCATAGAATTCTATAATGGTTCCTGGAGTTATCATGAAGATAATGACAAGCTATTTTGCTACTCAGAAAGAGGTAATCCTTATGGACCATTGTATTCTACTGGTGATACTATTGAATGCTGTTTAAACTTTACAAATAATACCGTATTCTATACTAAAAATAAGTGCTGCCAAGAAAAAACCTGTAAATCTTATTAGATAGGATTTGCAGGTTTTCTCTTGATAATACTCAAATGGTATAAGCCTAGATAGTAACAACAAATTTGCACTAAGATATCAAGTAGAAGTTTATTATCGAATAAAAAAAATATAAAAATATGATCATTAATCTAACGAAATTGATTGATATTGATCCAAACAACAAATTTGTACTCTTAGAGCCCTAAATATCTAAATAATATAAACCAAATACCTCAATATATCCAAATAAATACATGATTATTATAGAAAATGATATGTAAAAATTAAACTAATTTGTGATTAAATTACAAGCTATAATAATATTTGGAATGAATTTATAATTCACAAATTAAATAAAATAAATAAATAAATACTCAATAATATAGTACTTAAAAAAAGCAGCATATGTAAAATCTTTTTTTAAAAAAAAAATCAATTGTTGTCAAAAATATCAGTTAAATAAATTTTTTTATTGACTAAAATTATTTCTGATAACTTTTCAGTAATTTTATACATATTAATAAACTTGCTTCTACTTTTGAACATATTCTTATAGTACAAATTTTCAATATTCTCAAGTAATGATTTGGATTCATTTAGACACTTTCATCATTTTGCTATTTCTTAGATAAATGTTTTTCTGAATTTTTATTCTAATAAGGTTTACATAATATTGTGGTGCTTCTTTATTAATAGCAAGTCTTAATCACGATAATATATTAAAAAACAAAGTTTTGATATATATAATATAAATTAGATCCTTCTTAAATTGATTAACTGCTTTAATGATAATATATATAATTCTTCGTGACAAATATTATACTTTCATACAATACTTTGGTGATGATTAAGACCTCTCTTTATCTTATACTTTATTTCACAGATTTCATATTCAAACTCTTGTTCTAGAGCATAGTTTGAAATTAAAATTATTAGTTTAATAAAAATATATATTTGAATATACAAATTATTAGTTGTCATATTAAATCTATATTAAAATAAGACTATTCTTACTTAACTGAATTCCAAAAAAAAACAAATTAGTTTTAAGAATAGGAAATTAGTTTGACATGCCTGAATATATAAATCAGAGCATATATAAAGTTACTTATAAAATAGAACTTATCAGATATATGTGGTAACAAAATCCTTAAGTTTGCAAAAAAAATATTCAATAACAATTCAGTTTTATCTACCTTAGTAAAACAAGATCATCAGTTTTTAAATCAAATAATAGTACTACATCTTTTGTTTAAAAAAGTATTTATTATAACTTATAAAGAAAAAACATATTATCTAAACTATCATTTTATTTTTGATACTATAAAAGAATTGTTGAGCAATAAAGATATATTTAAATATTGTATTTTTAAATTTACACTGCTATATTATAAAGAAGAAAGATTTATCATAAATAATATAATAGGGAATAGTAAGAAAAAACAAAAAAAATGATTCCAGATGAAGCAAATATTTTATCAATACAGTGCTTGACAAAAGTTTCTTCGCACCTATATCTCTTCATAAAAAGGTGCTACGACCTTGAAAATTTCAAAAAAGTTAGTACATACACAGATTAGATTG